GGATACAAGCGGCCAAGATGGGTTTTCTCCGCAGGGTGGCTGGTGTCTCCCTTAGGGATAAGGTGAGAAGTTCAGTCATCCGGGAGGGACTCGGAGTTGAACCGCTCCTCCTTCGCGTCGAAAGGAGCCAGTTGAGGTGGTTCGGGCACCTAGTAAGGAATGGATGCCACCTGGGCGCCTCCCTAGGGAGGTGTTCCAGGCACGTCCAGCTGGGAGGAAACCGAGGGGTAGACCTAGGACCAGGTGGAGGGATTATATCTCTTCGCTGGCCTGGGAGCGCCTTGGGACCCCCCAGTCAGAGCTGGTTGATGTGGCCGGAGAAGCGGGAGAAGATTGATGGATGGATGGATGGATGGATATTTGAATCATGCACCAGTACTTTAATTTGTTTGGCTTATTTGAAGCTAACATAGCTGCAGGATTCTCGCTGTACAGAGTTTGTATTCTCATGGTTGATGGCAATTATTATATGCTAAGTTAAATGAAATGTTCTTATATGAATGGGCATTGCACATGTGCATCAACACACCACTGGTTGTCACTTCTTTATCCCCAGTGCTCGTGTCATGATGTCTCTGTGTGTTAACTGGGCCTGAGGACTCCAGTTTAAGTTTTAAATGTGCTTGTGTCTCCTCTCCAGCAGCTGAAGCATGCTCTTAGCCCAGATAAACCGGGACTCGCCAGGAATGGCAGAGTTTCACGATGCAGACGGGCAGCCGGTCACCCTCTGTCTGACGGAGGCCGTGACTGTGGGAGGTGAGATCCTGAACATCAACTCGTCAATATATTGTTATAAAATAAGTCTTTACTACAGCTTGAACTGGACAACTGGCATATTTATTTTTATTTCAAAAGGACTTTATTACATGTGATGTTTTTAATTTACAGCTCTTGAATAAATAAGACAAATGAGTATTGATTCTGTATAGAACAATACAAGTGTCACACCTCAAAAAGAAAGTCTAGAATACTATATATTTATATTGAGAGTAATTACTATAATAATATAATGCGTGAGAAGTACGTACACAAGAAAAGTAGCTACTGGACATTTTATTTCCCCTTTTTTAATAGATGATTATTATTGTGTTCTCACAAAAGACTGAGTTTACCAGTGTCAGATCTGGATCATCTATTTTGAAAAGTTACGATGTAGTTCAAATTGCATTTAAAGCCATAACATTATGATCTTCTCACTTAAAGATAATTCAAACATCTTCCCCAGATGGCGATCAGATAGAGAGCTTGGACACGGTGAGTCTGCAGGCCATCACTCTTGCAGATGGATCGACTGCGTACATCCAGCACGACTCCAAGTCTTCGTTTTCGGACGGACAGATCATGGACGGCCAGGTGATCCAGCTGGAGGACGGCTCCGCAGCCTATGTTCAGCACGTGTCCATGCCTAAAGGAGGTAAGAAGACATGGTTTATTTGTATTTAAAAAGGATGATTTAATGCAATCTTGTAGAACACATTTGGAGCAAGTAAAGCAGTGGTTAGTGCTGATGAAGTCGTTGTGCCTCACTTTATGTTGTTTCCTGGTGTAGGAGGGGATAGTTTACAGCTTGAAGACGGACAAGCAGTCCAGCTAGAAGATGGAACAACAGCCTACATTCACACACCCAAAGGTAAGAACATTACGTTTATTTCATCTCTGTTTCTTAGGCAACATCGACGTGTCTCATTTCAGTCATTTGTTTACATATTCATGTAAACGAGTACACTTTAGGGAAATCAAATTCAATTTATTAAAACTGAAAGGGATTAAAAAACGTAATATGAGAGACAAAAGCCAGGGTTCTTACGGTCATTCCAAACCTGGAAAAATCATGGAAATTCAAAATGCTAATTCCAGGCCCTGGAAAAGTTATGGAAAACAATATTATTCCCAACGTTTTGGAAAAGTCATGGAAATATAACTAAAGTTGCATCAAATATAATTTATATTTGATCTAATCGCCAAAATAGTAATACTATAACGATAATAAATACTGTACTGTATAGTAATGAAACGTAAAATGGCATTTAACTGTCGAGGTATTTTGCCGGTGAGAGATTTTAGTTGATTTAGCGTGTGGAAGCTAGTAAGCCTTTGATAGCCCCGATAGCAATGAATACATTCAGTGTTTCCCCTAGGATGGAGTCATAGCAGCGGTGCTAAGGCACGCGGGCCCAGCAAAATGTGAGCGCGGCGCGCGTGGACATTTTAAGTGTGTGCGCGTGCGAAGTGCTTCCCGCCATTATGTTTCTATT